CGCTGCCCCTGCTGCCCCCGCTGCCACCAGGGCACTGCCAGGCCTATGAAAGAGGCCACCCTAACCCTGGCACTCCCTGGCTGACACATGAGTGAGACCAGGACTGTCCAGAGGAATCATGAGCTAGAGAAATGGTTACTATTTTAAGGTTTTGTTGGAGGGGGGTTGTTAGGGAGCAAGTGACCGCTGGCACAGAAGGGGTTCTGATGGGCCCAGCTCTGGGCCCCACTCACCCTTGACACGCGTCTGCTCTGTCACACTCCTGCGTCCCCTGCTGCTGTCCGGCATCACAGTGTCACTGCCCACGTCAGTGTGGCCGGGCCCCGGGCGGCCCTCGGGGGAGAAGACCATGGCTTCTGGCTGGGCCTCGTGCCCTCGGAACCAAGAAGTGGAGAGAATGCCATGGAGGATCCCGGGGACGGGAAGGTGAGCACTGGCTCCTTCTGTCAAGGTGTCTGGAGGCGCAGAGGAGGGCAGCTCCGAGGAGGCAGGGCAGAGGCAGGATGCGAGGAGGGTGCCTGGAGGGGTGGGGAGGAGAGGAGAAAAGAGGGGAGCAAGTGGGACCCAAGGTGAGGTGCTGCCCCAAGCGGCCCTTCCCGGCCATCGAGGATCCTGGGGACGGGAAGGTGAGCACTGGCTTCTTCTGTCAAGATGTCTGGAGGCGCAGAGGAGGGCAGCTCCGAGGAGGCAGGGCAGAGGCAGGATGCGAGGAGGGTGCCTGGAGGGGTGGGGAGGAGAGGAGAAAAGAGGGGAGCAAGTGGGACCCAAGGTGAGGTGCTGCCCCAAGCGGCCCTTCCCGCGCCGGGGAGAACGAGTCCGGCACAGGGAGCGCTGACGTGGACAACAGTGATCATGGTGAAAGTATTGTAGGAATGGAAGGGAACGTTCACTGAGAACCTCCTGTCAGCCAGACACCGTTCTAAGCACCGAACATGTGTTAGCTCACGCCTTCCTTATACGTCGGCCCCACAAAGCACACCTTCCACTGGGCGGTCGGCTGCACTCTCTAACCTCTGCTCTGCTGTGTCCCGAAAGGCTGGCCTCTCTGAGCTCCCTTGTTGGTGACCCCGTGCCCTTTGCTTCTGACCGTGGGAGTGGCCTTGTGGTTATGGTCCCACAGCTCCCTCCCTGCTCCTTCAGCACAGGTGGGCTGTGTCCCTCTACCAAAGCTCCTATTGGGTGGCCATCTATCTCTCCCTCTGGCAACTTCTAGCCTGGGGAGGCCGGGCGGGGGGAGTAACTGCTTCTTACTGTTGCCAGCCCCTGGGTACTGCACAGCCCCATGTCGCTTTACCAATCCCCTGCCTTCACCTCTGCAAAGTGTCCCTTTACCAAACCCTGCTCATTACTCCCTTTGGGTTCACCATCTCCTTCTTGCCTCCACCTTTACTGATGCAACTATTCCACCCCTATTTGAGGTGAAGAAACAAAGATGCGGAGAATGGAAGACAGCTTTCCAGGATGTTATAGGTGGTAGGCAGCACCTACGGAGTTGAAATTCTCCACCACTAAAGTACATTGTGCAGTGAGTCCTCCGCCCTCAGTTCCTCTCACTTCCTCTTGTTAAATTTCCGAGTTGCTTAGAGCTTGAAGCCGAGCCCTGGGAGTCTGGCTCCAGACCCTCTGCTCTTGCCCACCCCACTCTGTTACCTCTCACTGGAATGGTGACTGTTGCAGTAAGAACACAAGCTCCTTCCACAAAAGACTGGAAAGTTTGTGCTAGTCAGTTTGGCTCAGTGGATAGAGCTTCAGCCCATGGACTGAAGGGTCCCAGGTTCGAGTCTGGTCAAGGGCACATACCTTGACCGGAATGCAGGAGGCAACCAATCAATGTGTCTTTCTC